TTGTAATCACAATATTTAGTTTTTATATTACATAATTTTAATGTAATTAAATTACATTATATTATTACACAGTACACCTAATATATCACATTATATTATAAAATATAATGTATAAAATATGATTGTATAAAAGTTGTATAATTATGTATAATTGAAATACTATAATTGATTGCATAAAAATGATGTATGATTATATAAAAATGTATATTATAATTACTTAACATTATCCATATGTTATATAAATTATTTAATATTACATAATAAATTTTAAATATATAGTGACTTACGACATAATAAAACGTATTAAAAATATACCTGAAATATAATGCAGTTCATTAAAATACCAAAAAAAAAAAAAAGTAATTGAAATTGAACAAGTTTTAATTGCTTGGAGGGCCATAAGCTAACGGCGAGTTGAAGAATCCGATTGAGGTCAAAATACTTGGTCTCAACTGAAATCATCTCTCGGTAAACATCGAACACAAATGCAAAAAAGACAACAAAGTTTTTTATCCCCTTCTTCCAGACAGACAATTCTGATATTTTTTCTACGCTAAATTTTAAATACCGATATAAAACGCTATATAGCTTAATTTGGCATAGAATGAGATATAATATAAAATATTATTATGCAGGGATCGATACACTTATACCATGACAATTTTACTAGGGAACAGACAATTGATTTTACACCGAATGAAATTCAGCAGCTGTTTATTTCACACAACAAAAACACACATAAGGTGAATTTTTTAACGAAGTCTACGTAGGCGCGTGAACTCACTCGATTCCAGCGACGTTGTCATACGTGTTTCATTTGCGTGCGTGCAGTCGTAGGATACGTTAGATGTTTCGAAGCATCGGAACTGCCTCAAAAGTTGATACGAATCATGTGCGAGGTTATTACTGGCGAAATGAAAGGTACTGTAAAATGGACTGTAAGATATTAAAAATGTAGAAAATATAAGTTTATTAAATGTGTTGCATCTAAGTAAAAAGTACTGCATTCTCTGGAGCAAGTATTAAAAGTATTAAAGTACTCACTTTTTTGATCGTGCACAAAATTTTTTATCTGTTTATATCTCTCGTAACTTTATATTCCCTATCCTGATGAATTTATTAGCGTTACTTTCATAATTTCTACATTATATAATTTTTTATATACGATTCTTCGAATTTGAATATTATGAGATGATCTACACAATTTATTGCATTAAATGTTTAAGAATGAAAGATAATTCACTGCGCAAAAAGATTAACTTAAAGAAAGTCTCATCCGTTTCGTGATACGCCTATAACTTATGTTATATCATTTAGAAAATTTATGGTAATCTTTTGACTCACATATATTCTGTTCAAAAAGTCCTCTTTTTCTTTATAACTTTTGTGGGTTAATTGTAAGTTTTCTGCTTTATCTCCTTCGATATGTCTCTTCTCGGTTGATACTCCCAACGTCATTTCCACTTTTCGAAGCAGTTCTGGTAAGCGTTTTTTAGAATCGCGCGTAAGTTTGTCTGCGAATTTTCCTTAATGTTTGAAAAAAAAAAAAAGGATTGAACTGTACTGTAACTATAATAACCTGTCTTTCGCAGATTTTTCTTTTTGTTTTAAACAAAATCCACGTTGAAAAGCTAAAAAATTCGACACTCGAAGACGTTAATGAAAATTCACAGACGGATTTAACGCTCGTAATTTTCAAAAAATGCATATACTTACTAGGACTACTTCCAAAAGTGAAAACAACGTTGGAAGTAGTGTATCAATCAAGCAGAAACATATTTCGAAGGAGATAGAGTTGACTAAATTATAAATAAACCCCCAAACATTATAAAGACATAGTTCGGAAACTTTTTGAACAGCTCTCGGTAAGACTGTAGTGTACTACTCAAGTAACTCAAGTCCGATTCTGATGAAATTTTACAGGTACGTAGTACTTACTAAATGTAGTTGGAGCCACTAACGCGGAGTTGCAGAAATGCTTAATTTCCAAGAAAATTAAATTTTAATTATTTGGCTTAATTAACGTTTTTTAAGATTTCGAAATAAAGAAAAAATAAGAATTTAAAAATATTTTGCTAAAATATTTCATTTTATTAGTGTACGAGGGAACTGTACTAAGTGTTGACCAAATATCATTATAAAAAAAAAAAACAAATATAGATTTCTAACATTCTTCTAATATTTTTTACATTGTAAATAATGGGTAGTTTGGGATAGATCTTGCTTTTTTGCGTGGAAATTGCAAACTTATGTAAAAGTTGTTTTATTTGTGAAACTTTTTTTGTTAATAACTCTTTAATAAACTACGAGTTGTAAAAACAACGATATCAAAAAATGAGAAAATAATCTTCTTTTATTTCTTGTTTTTTTTTTATAATGATTGTTTGAAAGTCAAACCGAAATTGCTTATTATTGAGCGGTCGAAATGCGCAGCCCAGTTACGAACGGCGCGAACCATAATCACGTGCCTCGACGAACGTCTCGCACGCTTATTCGTCGAGGCACCGTGCCTAGCGACAGGAACGCGTGTTCTACGCGTCAGCTGTAGACGAAAGTACAAATAAAATAGGAAAACAAAATCATCCGCTCCGTGAGTGACTGACTGCTCATCCCCGTTTCGCGCTGCGCGACGCCGGTGACGGCCGAAAGCGAGCGCGGAGCGGGCAGAATCTCTCGACTCGATCATCGGCTCGTTCGCATCAGAGCCCACAAAACTTCAAACCGCTCGTCTCGACGACATTAGTTGTTTTTCGCTATTGAATTCTTGTGTGCGTGCGACTTATCTTATGTGAACGTGCAAATCGTGTGCAGACTGTATATAAATTGGACGCCGAAGCCCGGACCCTTGCCGCGATCAAGATTTCCAACTCGCCGGATTTCCGATGCGCAAGATTTCCGACGGCACGAACACGATAACCGGGGCCCCTTGATTTGACTGTGGTTTTTGGTAGTATTTTTTACGCTGAACAAAAAATTATATAGATCTTATAGGGCTAACTGCTTTAGTTTTTGAGATATGCAGTATTAAAGCTCAAAATAAATATAACTTGGTAAATGTCTAGATTAAGGGCGACCTCACCGATTTCAATGACCTTGATATATGTTGTCAAAGTCATGACCCCGAGTGACCTTCAGAAGATTTTAGCCGTCGCTCGTTATTCATTAAAAAGTTATTAACAAAAAAAGGTTTTGAAAATATAGCAGCTATTTTGAGTATTGGAAGGCATAATAACTAATATATATGTCGAAATTGTTCACGCATACACTTTCCATGCGAAACGAGGTGCCACATGGGTTAGATGACGCGCTTTAAAAAACACTTAAATACTTTTAAAGCGCGTCATCTAACTTATGTAGGTTAGTGACGCGATTTAAAAGTATTTAAATATTTAATTCCGACTAATCTATTACTTATTTATGCCTTCCAATACTCAAAATAGCGGCTATATTTTTTAAACTTTTTTTGTTAATAACTTTTTAACGAATAACGGGCGACGGCTAAAACCTTTTGAAGATCACTCGGGGTCATGATCTTGACAACATATATCAAGGTCATTGAAATCGGGGTGAGGTTGCCCTTAAATCTAGACATTTACCAAGTTTGTTTGTTCGTATCGAATTTGCCGGTCCGCACTTTACGCGTCGAAACGCTATCTCCCGATCGGAATCACTCCGCGAACGAGGAGAAGAAGTTCAAATTAACTAAAGCGTCGTTTTAATAGACTCTCACTTTATTTTACAGTATAAGCTTGCGCTCGATGTGTCGCTCTCGATGGTTTCTCAAGGCTCACTAGTCTCCCGGCCGGAGCGAGCAAACGATCGCGGCCGAAGCTCCGTGTTATTCCCTTTGGAAAATTTCGTGACGATAAATCGTCTTATTGGCTCCAAACTGCCTGGCGACCATGTTATTGGACGAAAGACTTGCGCTCACGCGGCTGTCACCTGTCACGCGCTTTGCACCTGCGAGCCGTTTGCTCGAGAAAGAAAAGAAAAAAAGGGGAAAACGTAAATATACGCGTTTTCAGATATTTCGAGCGTTCGAGAACGATCCCTGCTTTCACTTTCCAATCGTCAATTCGCAACAAATATTATTTCAGAAATATTCGAGCACGCGTTCCGCACTTGCGGGGACGAGCTTTCAACAAAGTTATATTTATTTTGTGCTTTAATACTGCATATCTCGAAAACTAAAGCAGTTAGCCCTATAAGACCTATATAATTTTTTGTTCAGCGTAAAAAATACTACCAGAAACCACAGTCAAATCAAGGGGCCCCGGTTATCGTGTTTTCCCCTTTCCGACAGCAAGATCTCCGATACTCGGTTTACTCCGACCCGATCGGGTCAGGAGAACGAACATTTTTGTACGCGAGGTGCGTCGGGCGTCGCTCTGCTCCATTGCGTGCACGAAATAAACGCTTTTTTTATGTGAATCACGAGGCTTCAAGTTTCTTCCCGCTCCACATTCTTCAGCGAGACTCAAAGCTCGCGCTACCGACCGTTTTCGCGCTCATCTCTGGGCGAATTCCGGCGATTCACATCGGGACGATCTCGTCGAGATCGCCTCCCGAACAATGATATTTTGACGACACTGTACGTACGCACTGTACAGTTTTTCAATACATTAATGAAAGAAAAAAAACATTTCAGTAAAATATTTTTGAATTTTAATTATCTTTGTATATCGAAATCTTGCAAAACGTTAAGTAGGCCAAATAATTAAAATTTTATTTTCTCGGAAACTAGGCATTTTTATAACTCCACAATAGTGGCTACGCCTACGTCTACGTTTAGTAAGTACTACGCACCTGTAAAATTTCATTAAAATCGGGCTTGAATAGTATACTAAAGTGTTAAAGCCAAACCTCGCGTATATCGAAATAAGCCGAGTTATTAATTTAATAATAATTTTTTGTAAACACCGTTGTTCAAAACACTTCCATATTTTATTATTCCTTACAATGTTATTTAAATTATTAGTCAGCTTAGTGATTATATGATTATGACATGTAAGTTGCACTAGTTTTCTCATTATTTTACTATTAGTTGATTTTTTTGGTCAATTCCGCACAGAATAAAGAACGGTAAAAAACGATAATCCAGTACTGAACAACTGTAATAAGACATGACTTTTCTACTTTAATCTAAAATATATGTTAGTTATTTTGAAAGGTTATTTCTTACCGTAGCAGCACCTTCTAATGATCCCACGAACAGTCCAGCAATATTCATAGTGAACGCCTTGGTACCTCTTTGCAAGAGAAACAGTATCATTTTTTGTATTTGCAACGGAGCTACGTACCACTGACCGTTGTACCTATGTGATGATTAATTAATAATTGAGAAATATAAATAAAATCTGTGTCTGCAAACAGTTTTATTATACCTTTCTTAAACTACGAGTATATTAAATGTATTTTTTATTACATAAAATAATTCCTTACACAGTGACAAAAACATTATTATTATGATCCATAATTTCTTGCGCAATATAGTTGCCTACAAACATGTAAGACAAGAGATACATCATAAATATTAATCGTAATGAAAGTTCTTCAATATCACATTCAAAGGATGTCATCTGAAAAATCTAAAATACAGGGATATTGTAATAATTGTCATAAAAATTAAATCAATATTATACAAAAAACCAATTAATTAGAATTGTCTGATGAATGAAAATTTAGTAGTAACTAATCTTATTACTATTATTTATAAGTATATTCATAAAACAAAAGCAGTATTTACCAGAAAAACATTAAGACTTCCGCATATTACACCGGTTATTATCAAAAGGGCGAACATTATTTTAAATCTAGATATTGTCGAGTTAGAAAATCTTTAAATAAAAATATTATTATATGCGCGTATTTTATGTCCTAATTATTATATATAATATAATTCATATTGCTTATTAAATACTAACTTCATAGCTTTGCGATGCATATCCACAGCACAAATTAATCCCTTGTATATCAAATATTCGTTTTGAAAGCTGTTTTTTCGTAGAGTTTCGAGTGTCATTGTACGTGCGATACGATAACTGTAAATGATTCTTTTGGCATCATTAAATGGCCTTTCTATTTCTCCAATTTGATAGATTTTTTATATTTGTTTTTATATTTATTCCCTTACCAGGCAATTTGAAACATTCCACATGCATGTTGTAAGTAAACTATGAACATTGTTCCTGTCCCTATCATTGCAATTAACCCAATAAAAAAGGCTGCATTTGTATGGAAAAATATCAAGTAGAAGTATCTTTTATCGACAAAGTATTCTGTCACAAGCAGCGGCGAAATACGTGTGCGAGTTTCATTTATAGACAGTAAGGTGTAAAAAACGCGCGGCGAGTTTATAATAAACTTTTTATCGAAATAATTGATCCTTAAATATTTTTCAGTGCTTGTTATATTTGTCGCAATTATTTTAATTTTATACCCAATTTGGTCGCGCGTTTAGTTTTCTAAATACAATATTCCAAATATAATAATTCGCATTCAAAGTAAATTTAAAGCAGTTGTCTTACATGTAAATGCAATTGTGTAACGTTTTGCATAGATAGCATACTGTTTTATGATATTGATTTCATTTTCGTCAGTTAACTCGTTACAAGTATTCTGCAGTTGCTCCAGCAAACACTTTATCTGTCAATATTGCATACTATTTTTCTTAATTATATTTTAAAAACATTTTTTTGTTTGTATTTTATAAAAAGATTTTTTTTCGGAAATATTTCCGAAGAATTGATCTTTTTATACAATACAACTTGTTTCCCAAAAATAATACACATATGAATACAATATACATATAATATACCGCATGATACTCGAGAAATTATTGAAGCTGAATAGCTAATATTTATGTAATTAATCAGCAATAAAATAAAATAAATTAAACATATTACACTGCAGAAGAATTTCATAATTATTATCTGCATATTGCGTGAAAAGAATATCTGTTTATATACATGTAAAAATAAAATCTATAAAACGAATAAAAATTTAGTTAATTGCATAACTCAATAATATAACATATTTATTTAGGAAATATCGACATGGATACTTTCATGAAAGAAATATCCCCAGGATTCTTCAAAAGTACAGTTTCACTTATTAATGTTAGATATAGCATATGTAAATTTTTAAAGTTTTGAAGAACGCCTCAATTATTGTGTCAGTTCATTAGCCATCTTGAACTGATTATTGAGTTATGCTATGAACTTTATTGTTGACCTTTTTTTATAATATTAATTTTTACAAATTTATATATAACTTTTCTTTTACACTACATGCTGGTATAAAAAACTCTGATCTAAAAAAACTGGTCTCTTTCTGTAGCGTTTATTTATTTTTTGCTTTCTGCTTATCATAAAATGAAATTTTACGATTTAGTTTCACGAACTTCTCAATTGTCAGCCAGTATAATTTACTTACGACTTCAACGTTAATACTAAATGAACTATATTTAATTGCAAAGCTAATGTAAAATAATGCAGATGCAAGAACATTGATGAGGAGATCTGGAGTACATTGTGATGTCAGAAATGTTGCAAACTGCAAAGAAATTTTTAAATATAATTTTACATTGAAATTATTAGGCAACCAAAGAAAGGGTCTAAGTCTTTAATTGTTTTACAATGTATAATAATTTAACATGAGAAAGCTATTTAACTGCAATTAACTGCTATTTAACTGCAATTACACTGAAATTATTATCTATTTTCTTAGGCAACCAAAGAAAGGGTCTAAGTCTTTAATTGTTTTACAATGTATAATAATTTAACATGAGAAAGCTATTTAACTGCAATATATTAAGCAAAATTAGAAATTAAATTTTTTTTTGTAATAACAAACACATGTTATAAAATCAATATCAACATATTTAATATTATGACGGTCTTATAACGATTCTGATATATTAAAACGCAAAATAAAAGATTGCTAAAAATAACGTTATATTTTTTATCTTGTTATTATATAATTAAAATTATTAACATACCTGACCTAGGATAAAGGTCGCCAAAACACTAAAAAGCAATGTGAACTGAAGTTGAACAAGTTTAGACCTTTGATAAGGCCACAGACCAACTGTGAGTAATAAAAACCGATTGAGGCTAATATGTAAAGAGTCGATACAGATCATTTCTTCACGAGCACGCAGATGTGTGTGACACCGGAAAGGCCAGTTCACTTTTTTTTTTATCAGTTGTATATTGTATTACTCCTTTTTTTTCATACTTTAGCTCAAATTCTAACGTAAATTATCAAATTTAACGTAAATGTAACAAAATATTGCCATGAGATAGGAACACGCGCAATTTAACAATTTTATCTGTAAATAAGTCGGTGATCAAGCGACATAAGATAATAGCTAGAACAGATGTTTATTTCTCATAGGTAAATACTTATGAATTTTCTGACAAAAGATCACGCACGCGTATTTGCCAGTTTTCAGTAGCGCATTTATTCATTCGTTTCGTAGTGTGTGAACTCGTAAGTTTCACTTTATTGATCCTTTAGGAAAAGCAAGACGGTCAGTTTTACATTTCGATATATCAACTATTGACTTAATATTTGTCAAATTTAATATACCACCGTTAATAATAAAATATATTTTTCTATATATTATTATAAACATACATATAAACATACATAAATATAAAATTGAGAATACTATATAAAGTGGTTTCTTATGCTGTGTGGAAAATACATGGTTATTGTGATCCGTGATTTCTTGTCCAGCATAGTTGGCTAAGAACATATATAAAAGGATGATAGCTACACCCTTACGAAAAAAACACCCTAAATAACACCCAAAAAAACACCAAAAAAACACCAAAAAATAATAGCGTAATTTCGGATCCCCAAATGGCGTTTACACTATTTGAGCGTTAACGCTAAGAAAAACACCAAAAATGACACCGAAAATTTTGTGTTTTTTTGGGTGTTATTAGGGTGTTTTTTTCGTAAGAATATTGTGAAAAATATCGTGTGCACTTCGGGGCGAAAGCTTTTTCAGACTCGTGTGATTGCAAACTTTACACTTGTCTGAAAAACGCTACTTTCGCCCCTTGGTGCACAATATACTATTATGGCCTCTTTATTAAATTAATAATTGATATTTTAAATCAAAATATTGTGAAATATTACATTATTTATCTAATATATAT